CCTAGATTTCAATCTGCAAATAGCGAAGGAAAATGTCGAGTTAAACAGCAATAATTATCAAGCCAGATTGGACCGACACATTAATAAATTAGCTGCCGAGCTGAAGGGGGTGGGCAGTCTAAGATTCTCTCGCCTTAAGAGAAATAGTAAATCGAACCTAGCGACTAGATTCACAGAGTGAAGATGAGGATTGTACCACTGGGTGCACGCCTCTACTGAAGATACATTTACCGATAAAAATCTAACAGCATATTTGATTATTGTTAAGAACAAACAGATTACAGATAGAAATAGAGAGTAGCAGGATTCAACAAACTTTTTTTTAATGTAAGATGAGTGAATTGTAATGAATTGTGAAACTTTTTTTTTGACATAGTGTGGCCTAAAACGAAGGGACTCGTTATTGTAACGGATGGCCGACTGTAACATTTAGTTATTTTATGTGCCAGTTCGTAGATTTTGAATATAGATGTTTGATATGTCAAGTGGACAGTCGGTGATTCGCATTATATGAGTTAGGAATATAAAATATAAATGTAAAATGAGTATACACAAAAAGCGAGAAATATAATTGTTAATTGCCAAATATTTGTCTTCCTGGAAAACCCTTCTGAGCTGTTTTAATATTGTTTAAATAAAAATTCGTAAATTATAATATTGTTAGATTATTACTTTCTCCTAAAGCTAATTTACGTTTGAATTTTTATTCTTATAGAGGAAGAGCCCGTGAACGCCAGACCTTCGTCATTTTATAAAGGCTGAAAGTTTGTCATACATTTAAACCTGGTCTTTTGCTTTTATTGTGTTTGCATCTTACCTGAGCAATTTATTGTACGTTGAAATTAGACCAGCTGAAGGAACAATCGAGAAGGAGAGGTGCATCCTGTAGTGGTTCCGACTGACTGATGGTTCAACATAAAGCATAAGCCGCTGGTCGTAGAATCGTGAAAATTTAAGAACGTATTCCTTATATGATATAGGCATCCGATAAAAAAGAAGTTTTTCGAAATTCATCCCCTAAGTAGGTAAAATTGGGGATTTAAGATTGTATGAAACTCTGTAATTAATATGTAAAAAAGTTCAAAAAATAAAAAACATATATTCTTTTATACACGGTATAAGAGTTTTAAAGTCACTTTCTTTAAAATGATGTCCAGATAGCCTTAAATATGAAGATTGTGTTTATCCAATTTTAGTCGTCTTATTGCGTTAGTCCACAATTTCTTCAGGTTTTTGTCTTGTTGGAATAAATGCATTTTCTTTGCATCCTAGCATTATATACTTTGTCATATTAATTAAATATTAAATAAAATGAATATGTTTCTATCCACGCTGTAAAGTTGTACAATGTATTGAGGGAGAAGTCAGAGGCAATAGGTGTCGCGACTTCTGACGGGATAAAATGGCACAAATCTTTCCCAATCATAAGTCATAACGCTACATTTACATTCTTGCCGAGGCTTGGCAAGCGTCCACAAGCTCCAAGCCTTTACAAACGCTTGGATGCAATTTACACGCTTTTTTGAAATTTTATCCAGTCATATCGCGTATCACACGCTTGTGTTTGTGGACGCTTGTCGAGACTTGCCAAACTTGACCTACCCTACCCCAGCCTGCAAATTTATGATATTCGCAATGAAAAAAATACTAATCGATAGATTTTTAATAGCTCAATTCAACTACGTAGCCCTTCCAAATTGCTCACCATTAATTATAAAATTAAAAATCAATAAAGTCCTTGAAAAAAAATTCATTTATCCGTATATTCAAATTTCTATATCTTTTGATATATACAATATTTTAAATTGCTCAAAGTTCTAAAATACTGCTCAAGTTGCATTTGTAATTGCTCAAGTAGAGTTCTCACCAGCTCCACTTTCCTTAATTATTAAATAAATATAAATAGTTTGAATAAATTGAATAAAATAAAAAAAGTTCCGTCTTGTATTGATGTTAATAACATTTTACTAATGATCCCTGCCATGGCTTAATAGCCATTAAGGTAATCCTTAATAGAATAAGCATTTGAACATAAGATTTTGTCTTAATTTATCTGTTGGTATTAATTTTCATTTATTGGTAGATTCCAGATCTGTTCTTTATGTTATAATATCTGAAGTGGAATCACGTAATGTGAACAATTCATAAATTCAATAAATTTAAAGAAATCCACCGAGAAACAGAATTAAGACGTTGAATTGGAACGATTGTCCAAGCCCGCCGAGGCCGACCGACAATGCGCGGTGCGCATGCGCACGCTCACTTAACCTACGTTACATTTATTACAACTATACTTTTAATTATTTAATAATCAGCGAAAGTGGAGCTGGTAAAAACTCTACTTGAGCAATTACAAATGCAACTTGAGCAGTGTTTTAGAACTTTGAGCAATTTGAAATATTGTATACATCAAAAGATATAGGAGTTTGAATATACAGATAAATTATTATTTTTTCAAAGACTTTATTGATTTTTAATTAAATAATTAAAGGTGAGCAATTTGAAAGGGCTACGTAGTTAAATTGAGCTATTGAAAATCTATCGATTAGTATTTTTTTCATTGCAAATATCATAAATTTGCAGGCTGGGGTAGGGTAGGTCCAAACTTGTAAATGTAGCGTCATAATATTAAAATCCAGATTATATAGACTCAGTGAACTAAATGCTTAGAACTGTAACCTATAAATATTTAAACTATAAAGAAGAGTATAACTACATATTTGTCGTAAATAAATGAATATACCTAATATCAAATATTTTTTCATTTGAATTTTATACTAAGGAGACTACTTTGGTCTTAAAAAGCTTGTTATTTTACAAGATAATGGATATATAAACAAGGGCCGACATTATAATGAATTAATTATTTTATTAAACTCGTTGATTTAATTGTCTATGGTATATTTATGCACATTTAGCGCCCGAGACGATCAATCGCAATTGTCAATTTTACGTTTTTGTCAATTGCCATTAATTGTTTCCAAGTACAATTGAAGCGATTGTCAATTTACAGTTACGTGATTGAAAGCAATTGATGATTATTTTGATTGATGCTCAGGAGTCATTAAAGTTGCCAATTTTGATCGTTTACTGAGTCATTGACAATCGTTTCCGTTTTGTTTTCGAATTTCGCGCGTCTGACAGCCACGAAAAAAAATAATTGAATCGAACCATTAAAATTATTTAAATTATTATTAAAAATAAAATAAAATTACAAACATGGTGGATACCCCACGTAATTTAGAGGACCATGAATTTATTTCATTCTTAAAATCTTTGTATCAAGATCGCCCTGAGTTATGGAAAATTAAATGAAAAGATTATTCGAATAAAGATAAAAAAGTCTAGCAATTAAAAGTTTTGTAAATATATTAAAAACTTACAGAACTGATTATGATGAAAATAAATAAATAAGAAAATCAATGCTCTGCGTACTATTGAGCGCAAACACATGATTGAACACTGCATCCAGTGATGTCAACTTAGCGCTTTCGGCGCTAGATCTAACGCTTTTTTGACTCTGTCAGCGCCCAACAAAAAAATATAGCGCTTAGCGCCCAATCTAATGCTTTTTAAACAATATTTCTTCTTTGAAATAACATGTAACGGAACGTAATTGTTATTGTTATGGAAAAATAGTTTATACAGTATTTTCTCAGGCTAAGAACTTAAATTTCTTTCGAAATTTATTTATTAATTATTGAAAGAAATATCCGTTTTATTGTCTTAAAAGTTTTCGGGAAAACTTGGGCAGGTACCTACTAATTAAAATTGTAATAACCAAAAGAAAATAATATAAAAGATGATAAGGTAGAGCAACAAAACAATTTATTTATTAATTCTCTTTATTTGGTTTTATTTACATTATAAAATACTTAGGGGCTTTAATGAACTAGAATATAATTATTCTAGTTCATTAAAACCCCTACTTGGTTACAAATAGAGTATGGGCTGTATATCAGTTATTTAGATAATTGAAACGATGGCAAATATTGTAAGTTATAGAATATGGTAACCAGAAAGCTATTACGAGTATATTCAATTTATTAAATACATATAATAAAACTAACTTACAGTAAGTCCGCAATCGTGCAAAGGACTTGACCTAATAGTTAAAAATAAGTATTAAAAAAATGTTTAGCGGGCACAACTTCGCTCGGCGGCTATTTTAAACTGACAGCTGAAAAATAATATTTCCTTTACACGATCTGTGCTATTTTTCACTTTTTATGTTTAATTATAAAAAAAATGATGTGACCTATTTATACGAATGTGAAAATTTCGGTCCAGATGTAAATCAGTCAGGACTATTAATTATATAATTATAATTAAGCTAGTCTGGCTCACCTAGTACAAGCGCGATTTATAATTATTATAATAAATAGTTAAAATGTAGTTTAGTTAAATACCTTTAAATACTTAATATAGTTTCATGAAAGTCATGATACAAATATTGGCAAAAAACCAATTTATTATTTAGTTTTCTCTCGAAAAGATAAATTAACACTACTAAGAAAATATTCAACTCTGTATATCTGTCCATTTGTTCATTTGTAGTAGATTTATAGCATAGTTATTAACTATTATATAGGTAGACGGCAACAATTAATGTTTTTATGTTTTACAACTCGAAACAACAATTACCTACTATTAGATTTGAATGGTTATGACTTATGATGTAACATCTATTACTTCATGTTAGTAGTATAATCACGCTGTATCTATTTGTTTCGAAGAAAGTATTATGTACAAAATCATTACATAATATTTTTTCTAATCACACAAAGAAAATATCTAAAAATTAAAAAATCAGGTCAGTTTGGTTGAAGAGATAAGAATGTAAGGAATACAGACTTTGTCTTTTACGTTAAAAAAATATAAAGTAGATCATAGTTCAGTAACTCAGTTGTTAAATGTTATTTTCGTGCTTAAAGATAAACAGCTATTCAAAGTCAAAATTATGCAAAAATAAAAACAAATTGCAAACAATTGAAAAATTATGTGACATTTTGTTGAATCCAGGATAGATAATGTGTTACTCGAGTGTAAACGCCAGGATATCCAGGTTCCCCGCATTTGTTGCCGAAAGAAACAACACCTATTTGAGTCCAGCGACCATTGGCGAGCAACATCAGTGGACCACCCGAGTCTCCCTGAAAAGTTATAATAGATACCTACATATTAATTTGTTATACTTATATAGGTGTTTTCTTTTATTTAGTTAGTTCAGTTTAGTCGTACAGGTGACCAAAAACCAACTTCTTAGGTTTTACATATTAGTGCCCAACCGCCTCCCCCCCCCCCAACGTGCGTTCACCTTGTCGTGGTGGGGGGGCTCAGTAGTAGTAGCGAAGCTAAGAAACGCACAGGGAGGTTGCCCACTTCGGTGGGCGGTGGGAGGTGGCCCTCTTCGGGGGGCGGTGTACCTTGCGGGTTGCTCCTGGTACTTCTCTGATAGCAGAGTGGACCTTGGGGCAACCCCATGGTTGTGGTGGTCTGCATTGGCAGACCTGCCGTCGGGGCGTCGTAGTTGAATGCGTAAGCGATCCTGCGACGCCCCATTAAGACGGGGGAAGGTTTTGTTGGGTTTTAGTGGGTAGTACTGGCTGTATTACGCCGGTGAGTCATACACGTCGTGCGTAAATGCATTTCCCAACGTTAAAAAAAAAAAAGGTTTTACATATTAGTACACTCTTACAATGCAGTTTTTGTATTTTTTCTCAGCAATGAGATATTTTCCCGCAATAAAAAGTATCCCATATGTTGACCCGGATAACCAGCTATCATCATACCAAATTTCATCAAAATCTATTCAGTGGTTTTCCCGTGATGCGGTAACAGACAGACAGACAGACGAACATTCTAAAAACTATAGATTCGGCCTCTGTATCGATAATAACGTTTATTTCAATAAGATTTTCCAAAAAATATTTAATGTACAAATTCGGCTTAGTTACAATTTTATTATATGTATAGACAGATGATTGTATTTAATAATACTATAGGACGTAGGTATTTCATTCCGAATAATTAGATTAGATTTAAAAAAAGTTAAGATATAAGTTTTTTTATTGTTACAATCTTGCTTTTCAAAACAATATAATTTACATCTTTTTTTTCATTTTATCACCGTACGGTGTAGTGTAGAAAAATTGTTTTACATCAAACACCTGTATAATTCATACATTTGTACGTCTCGAATTTACCATTCGTTGATATACTCGTAGTTATTCGTCTATGACGCGGTTAACGAATTAAACAATTTCCCAATTAGGCAATGTTATTTATATTTTTGGTAATCTTCATTTCTGTTTATACTGTGTTTATTTGTAAATAATTACTACATTTCTTATTTCTGATTTTTATATTGGTAAGAACTATTGTAAGTGTTTGTAAATAAGCCTAATAAACAAAAAATAATAATAATATTTATTACAAATTATCTTACCTGGCAAGCATCAACTCCGCCTCTAGGGTATCCTGCGCATAAAAATGTATCTGTGATCGGTTGGAAGTATGCTCGATCACATTCCTCGTTCCTCCAAACAGGTAGTTTCGCTTCTAGCTGCCGGGAGCTCTCGCCACCACCGTACCTCGTCGTCCCCCAGCCCACTACGGTGGCCACTGAGCCGTCGAATTGTTTTCGGGACAATTCACCCCGCGGTAAGCAGATTGGTATCACGTATTTTGATTTTTGGACGTTTTCTGTAATAAATAATATTAACGTGAGATTGAATATTAGAATAAATTGGAATTTTGCTTAATATATTTCATTTCACTTTTTCTTAGAAAAATAATTTGAATTAAAAACCAGCTAATTAACTTTTTACTTTACATAGCTTCTAGTAACTCCTTAAACATAATTTGTTTGTGTTTTGCTATAATATAGGATTTCACTATGATGTAAATGAATTTGCTACTGCTATTGCCGGGGTAAAAATATATACAATAGTAATATCCACGCCTCATATAGCAAAAGAACTTCTAAATTCTTAATAATACCAAAAATAATAAATTGTGTTTATTTGTTCATTTTTCTTTACTTAGCAATAGATTTACGTGATTTTTATTATAGTATATGGCTTGGAGAGTTCATATATCTTAGATGCTTTCTCTAGTTTCTCTTTTAATTCTATGACGTCGTAGGGTATATCGTGAAAAAACACTAGGGATGCGCGTCACTAGTTTAAGAGCATTACCAGAGAGCACAAGTATAGCGATGTCGTTGTAATATCCAACCCGGGAGAACTGTTCATGCGCGCGCACTGCCGTCACGCGGAGAGTCACCGGTCGGGAGGGCTCGTCGTCCCGCGCAAGGTCCACGTCTCCGAGACGTACGCTGAACTGACGGGCGGGGAAACTGGGAATAGAATATATGGACAAAAATACTTATATATTAAGAATTTCTTTATTACAAAATTTAAGTCAGTTGGACGTTTCTTCCGAGATATCTAACAGTAGCCTATTATACTGGATTATAATCTATCTGTAGGCTAAATTTCATCCAAATCCGTCCAACCGTTACAGTTAAAGGAGTAACACGCACGTGTATATATGGAAACACACACATTCAAAATTTTGCAATTATAATAGTAGTTCGATTGGTAATGCAACCCTTTTATAACCCCTTGCGTGGTATAAATAATATATAGGTATTTAATGTTAAATGTTACCCCAAACTTGGATGCTGATACTCGAGTATTTTTAGTGTAATTTATCAATTCACTCTTAAAAAAAAATCGGGACAACCCACGGTCTTTGCTTAGAGTCCCTCGTGCAATGAGCTGCGGTTAGCACATGGCGTTTTCCAATAAGTGTTCCTCCGCACCAGAACTCGCGTCGATTATTTCCATGTAAATATATGGCGGCCATCCACGGCCAAGCACCAGGTTTTGCTTCTGTGCCACCAACTATACGTCCACCCTCTTCTTCTCTCTGTCCGCAATCTGAAAGGTTTATAATTACGGTTAAGTTATTCGATTTTCTTACCTATCATTAATATGGAAAAAAACATCAATATATAGTCATCTTAATAGAAGTGATTTTTTTTATATTAGCTCATATTAACACATAAAACAAATGGAAGGACAATCAATTTTATGATCAAGTTATATAAGACTATTTATAATTTATGTATTTAGAAATCACAGATATTCATTAAATTTTATTTAATAGGCATAAATAAGTACACTAATCGTTAAGTAATAAGTCTATTAATTGTTTTATAGTTATTAAACTTTATGATTAATTGAATTTATGGAAGAGTGATTTACTGTTAAAGTTTTCCTTATAAAAGTTTGTGGAGTTACGAAATATTTAGATGCCCATTAATTATTTGGTATAGTGAAGCGAATATATTTACGTATAATTAATGACTAAAGGGTATTTGTTGTTAATGTATCAATAAAAAAAATCATTTACCATTTACATCGACAATGTTGGAGAAGTTGCCGATAAATGGCGGAGCTACAGTATAGAAGCTAGTTGTTGATGGTACTCGTGTCGTTGTAGCTGTAGCAATAGTGGTGGGCTTACTAGTGGTAGAGGTAGTGGTTTTAGGTTTCTTTGTGGTTAGCACGAGAATTGCTGTGGGCTTTTTCGTAGTAGGTCTTTGAACAGGTCGTTGTGATGTTACAGGAATTAAATAAGTAGGACTGCTAGTGGTAGTTTTCACTGGTTTTTCTACGACCGGTGTCGCAAGAACCACAGCGTCTCGAGGACAACATACCCCAGGAACAAACAAATCTTTAAAACATAAGGACTCTCGAAGACTCACGAGATTGAGGAGCAATTGAGGACAATTTCTTAAATCTTCACAAACACCCTGCTCTCCTTCAGGCGTAGTACATGATTTGGCATCACTTTGACTGAAATCAGCTGTGGCTATCCTTGTAATTGGTGCATCTGGTAAGACTTTAGGTAATGCTTTTTTAACTATAGGCGCTATTTTATCTGTTACGTTTCTTCCAAGGACGTTCTTACTTATTGTATAGAGAGCTTGCGGAAGTTGTTTTAGGTTGGGATCTGATTCGTTTCTCTCATTTTCATTTACCATGTCAATAAGGTAGTGCCCGACTGTGTTGATCGCGCCTAGAGTCTCGGATATTCTAGTAAAAGCCGATTGTGATAGTAGTCTTCCATCACTTGGCCTATTTCTACTTTCTGTTTCTATGAATTCAACAGACGATCGACTGTTGTAATTTTGAGGGTAATTTTGAAAGTTCTGAGCTCCAGGTCCTTGAAATGGGTTCTGGTTATAAGAGTATGGCTGATTGTGTGGACCATTGTAGTATGTTTGAATATCAGGTGACCTTTTCTGTGGTGAAGTGAATCGCCAAGGCGGATGTCCTGATTGATGCACACTTGACGGTGGTCCTGGAGACTGCACGAAAGAAACTGAAATAGTATGATATTTTGAATAATTTAAGATATAATTAATTTAATATAATCGCATTGAACAAAATTATTGATGCATACCTACCCGGGTGGAGAGGTTGGTACTGACATCTTATTGGTAGTACTATCAATAGGATACCTGAAAAGATAAAAATGGCATTTATTTTAAAATTTAAAGCAGGTTAGATAAAGAATAAACGAGTATATCTAGGTAAACAATTCCTTTTAGTAAAGCTTTTACTAAATACTATATAATCAGACTATAAAATAACAATAATGTAACTCATAACCTTTATTTAAAAAAAATGTGATATGCGTGTAAGAATATTATTTTTAGAATATTTGCCTAGTTTTTTATTTATATACACCAGTGAGTGACCTTATTACTGTAACAAAAGCAGTGAAATTAAAGTGATGTCGTGTTTATTGTTTACAGAGCACTCAACTGCACTAGTTAACTCTGACGCGACTGTTGAGTTGCATCTTCACTATTTTAATGCTAATTTATCTTAGGTCTTCTCATTTTGTACAGACTTCAATTGATCCTCAACATTACTCACGTATAATAGGAGTGAGATGAGGGATCTCTGGATAATCTTATTTGTTAAAGTTTTTAGTACGTACAGTTACACTTACTTGAATGTAAAACGACATTTGAATTTCTTAGATTTACATGAATATTTGATTGTATTATTATATGTATATATGAATTTATGACATTGTAAAATCTTTAACAAGTATATAAATATTATATGACGTCTTTGCAAGACGTTTATAACCTCAGTCTGTCCTGTGACCATGATTGCTGTAAAGCATTCAAAACGTTGGGAACCACAAATCAATATAAATTCGCGAAATAATCCGAAAAGATAGTTTTATTTAAAATATAAAATACTAGCTAAAACTAATATTGCTAGCGACTTGCTCTTGTTACGCTTGGGTACGTTTCTATGTGTCTTTTGTATTAATAATATATACCTACTGGCAACGCCATCTTATGACAAATTTTGATGCAAGTAGTTGCTTATATTATATATAGTAGCCAATAGTAGTCTATTATTTCTGTGTACTGAATTTCAACCAAATTCATCCAGCCGTCTCAACGTGAGAGAGTAAAAAATATTCAAACACACATACAAACTTTTCCATATATATAACATTTCCACTTTATTCAAGTTTAGGATAACATTGGGGTACTTTAATTAAGTTGTTTTAATCATGAAATAGAACCTATTACACGATAGAAAATATCGACATGTAAATATGACCATTCTAAAGGTATACATATAATGGATGTTCCATTCCTAGAAGCTGAGTTCATCTTCTAACTTTCCAAATTCCTAATTGGCTGAATTTTATCAAAAAAGGAATCTTGGAACAATTACGTATCCAAAAGTTAAATAGAAATCAGTCACACTCGTAGAAACGAGGTGAAATTTATGTCATAGTTTTATTTTACTTTTAATAGGAATCAGTTTGGTTGTACAATCACAGGTAAAAGTTGTTCTGAAATTAAGTTATTAAAGTGAAAACTAATGATTTTAACCCTTTGAGTATTTTTTAATTATTTGGTACTTGTATAAACAATTGAAAATAAAAACGTCGGGAACGAAAAATTAAAATATATTCCGCGAAATAATCCGAAAACATCGTTTTTTTTTTAAATGTGAAATATTCGCGTAAATCTAAGAAAGTATGAACTGGAAATACTTTAAAAACATTATATTTATTTAATCACAAACTAAATATCAATAGAAACATGTCAAAATTAAAGCAATTGAAAAGAAATATAACACAAAATCAATAAAGAAAAAGATCATTAAGAATGTGTTATGGGCAATTTTTATAGCTGTGGTCGAAATTCGTCCGCTTTGTAAGAAAGAGTTAAACGTGCTTTAAAAATTGATTTAAGCATCGTAATCCAGTAAACGAATAAAATATTGAATTTAAAGAAAAATTGTTTTTTTTATAGGCAATATTGGAATAATGTAACCAACCCTTCGGGTACGGAACCCTAAAAATTAGTTAGGAGGACCTTACTACTAAGCCCTAACGGGACCTTATTACTAAGCCTCCGCTGCCCATTTCACACAGTGTGTATTCTATTGCCGCTATAACAACAAATAATAAATAAAATTTTTTTACAAAAAAATAAAAACCGATTTCAAACAAAAGCACTAAAAAGTAAAAAATAACTGATTGGTAGTTTTCATTTACTATACATACCTAATCAAATATTTTCGAAGTCGGTGTGCTTTGGCTAAGTAATTAAAGCCTACCTATTAAATACATACCTAATCAAATATTTTTGAAATCGGTGTCAGCCCATACAAAGCAATAGTTAGAGTAAGTAGAGTAAGATAGAAGTTATAGTTATTTGAAAATTAGTCGGGGTTTTAGGGCTATAATAGAGTAAGTATATTTTGGAGACTTTGTATAATGAAATTATTGGTTTATAAACTATCTAAATTCGAGATCAGACTCAACTTTATGTGCTAATAGAGACACCGAATTTAACACCACTATCTCCAGATTGCTTTTGAGAGTTTTTTGAGATAGTATTTTAATCCAAAATACTTAGCATCGTTTGTAAGCCGCAGAATACATGTTCCATCTTCAAGCATTGACTGTCCATCTTATTGTTGAGGAAAAAATAATCAAATGTGAACAGACCTTTCGTGTTATTCTATTTTACATTTAATAGGTGAGTTGTTTATTTTTGATTTAATCTCTACTTCAGATTCAGAATCAATTAAAAACGGTTCTGATATATTTCGTATAATTAACAATTATATATTAGGTACATACGTTTTAATTTATATATTTTTTTAAACTTATTTATAACCTTTGTGATTGTCGATGTAAAGTTATGGATCTATATATTTTCATGTCATTATAATAATGTGGTAGTAGATAAAAAATCCGATTTAAAAAAAATATGATAAAAAAATTTACTTATCTTATGGTAAATAAGTAAATTAGTTCTTATATTTCTACGGATTTCTGTACATTGTAAGGTTTATTGTGCCACCTCATAAGGGGTTAAGGAACGTTGTATGAGGTCGCCGGGAACCGGTTGTGCCGAATTTATAAGCAATGTTCCCAATTGTTTTTTTAATTGAATGCAGTTTTGACCAAGGTACTTCCAACTTTCAGTTTTATGGTGTTTTTTTAATCTGTATTGTATATATTATCTACTAATATTACACTAATTGTTATGCATTTCAATCTTTCTTAATTCTTTATATAGAACTATAGAATACTTTAGATAGAACCAGTTAGTGTTTTCCCGTGGGAATGAAACATTTTCCTGCGGTAAAAGGTATTCTAAATGTTGACCCGAGTAATAAGTTATCACTACTCACAATTTAGTTAAAGTCGGTTAAGTACTTTTTGCGTGGAAACGCCCACACCCAAACAAACAAACAAAAATTGTAATAAATATTGTTTTAGGGTCTATATTCTGTTTTAAAAATAGTGCATATATACAGATTTCGCTAAGTTACTGTTTTATTATATGTATAGATATTTCTTTACAACAATCACATTTTTTTTCTTAAACTTCAAAGTTATTATTTAACAAATGTATTATCTATATTTTCTTATTATATCGAAATAAAATGATTAACCATTTTATAGGTGTTTTAGGTAGGTACTAGGTACTTATGATTCCTTTCAAGCTATGTGTGATGTTCTCTTGACCCGATTCCGGCCACGGCGGCCAATCTCATTGAGACTAGCCAACTGCGCAGAAGATATTATAGTGCACAAGTGTACGCGCAGATACAAGTGCACTCTCTATTCCTGTCACTCTCATACTCCGGTGGGACGACTGCTCGACACGACCAGCGAGAGTTAAGGCGCAGAACCGACGGCTTTACGTACTCTCCGAGGCACGAGGGTGAAACACCGCCAATTTCCCATCTCCGGGCTATTACTGAGGCTTATTATACAGAAAGATTCAATAATTAAACTTGGCCCGACCCGGGATTCGAACACAAGACCTCTGGGTGTGCAGCCGTACATGCTAGCCATTACACCACCGAGGCAAGCTATGTGTATCATATGTGCAAAGTTTGGCATTGATCCTGCTGATCGTGAACTCTACTAAATATAATTCCATTTGGCGAGTCACTGGAAAGTTACACGTAATGATTTGCGTAACCCACTGTTTTGGTGTTCTTGGGAAAGATTAGCTGTATGAGAAATCGACCTTGATGTGTAGATAAAGAAACATGACTGAAAGTATGTGAAGTGAGATGTACGATATGTTTGTTACTTGTTTCGATGTAGAAGATATAGTATAAGAAATAGGTACTTATAAAAAAATAATAGCTGTTGTTTGTAGTTTTTAGTTAATAATTTATAAACTAGTGACTCGCCCTTTATAATTTTAAGGGAAATATTTAATGCGGCGAGATAAAAGTATCATTCGCCACTCTGCAGCCTCCACTCTACTTCGTTGCTTCATAAATCATAGCTAAGTTAAAGAAGAACATGTTAAAAAACATATAAAGTGCCAAAAGTGCTAAAGCATACAAATTGTGTTTGTATGATGATATATAAAGTGCATAAAACGGCCGAATGAAGCTAATAGTTTTGTACTTTATTTACTAAATGCCACTAAAAAGAATCCTTTCTCTAAATTAACAAATAAAATTTCTCTTTGTGTGTCACATCGGCAGCGATGAATTTTGATTGTTAGAGCATCTTTAAACAAATAAAAGCTTGTTTTAAAAAATGTTTATTATAATAATTTTATTTTTTAGTTATTCGTATTCTTCTTAGCAAACCCTTTCATATGATATCCATATCATGGGGGTGCATAAAAAAACGTAGTCCGCCATTTTTAAAAGTCCACCACATTGGATTTAAAATGACGTCATTTAAGTAACCATACATTGTCATCCAAACTTAACTTGAGGATATTACATACAAACATACTAACACGGTAAATTAAATAAAAGCTTGTAAAATACTCTAACAAGAAGAATGACAATAACAAATGAAAATGTTCAATGGGAAACCTTACTTCACCCATTATGATTAAGCTGTAAAAGGTACATAAATTACGCGGGCAGAGTTACAGGCAAATGCTAGTAGCATTAGTATTATATAGAATTTATTTAAATGCCTGAT